TTCAACACTATGCAATATGGGTGCCTCCACCAAATACTATCCCAAACCTTCTCAGACAGTATTTCCACGTAGACAGTATATACATTAACTGCAAGCGATATTGCTCTCCCTTCCCGCATCGCCAAAGCACAGCAAACCTTCTCAGACAGTATATCCACGTAGGCAGTATCCATGCATGCATCATCAGCACTCAACGTCACCGAATGTTCAATGTCCTCAGCAAAAACAAACTCAAGCAGGAACTAACCATTTTTAATGTCACGCCGACTACGAAAGTAGCTTTTACTCAACAATTTTTCTTTAACCTAAAATCTACCATAAATGCACCAGAAATGTAACATATATCGTTCGATATAATTTAATCGCAGCATCTCGCATTCCCTGCTTCGTTCGTTAGGATAACGCAACGTCACGTTACGTTACGGTCTCTGTCTCGCGAAATTCGAGTGCCGAGGTAAATCCGCGATGTACGTAATACAGAGGAAACACGGAGCGTCTACACATAGACGCAAACTGAAACACCGTTGCGGTTTCCATGGTTCGGAGGGTTGCACGAGTGCGCGTTTCTGGGGGCCCTCCGGAAACAGAACTTTCCATAAATGACGGAAACTCTGAAATTTTCCGTTTGTTATTTTAATTAGAGCCTTCGGGCCACACTTAACGAGAATCTGGCCGTCTACGTTTATAGCATACTGTTATATATAATGTACACCCATCTAAAACGACAATGGAGTACGATATTATCGGATTCCGCGTGACGTAAGCATAATCGTGCAATAGAGAATCCCGACCGAGTCTTTCGTCTCTTTGCACGCAATTATATTTGTTTCGTCGCGAGGAGTACTCCGACAACCGTATCGTCTTCTCTTCCGTATCCGTCTCTTCTATTTCCTTATCCCTTTAACGAGACATTCCGATAACGAACGAATTTTCCTTTTAAAAAACGTTGCACGGAGAACGTCGGGTAAAAAGAGCGGTCTCGATTGTTTTCTTGCCATTTTTTTTTTTTTTTTTTTTAACTCCTCGTCGTGGCCACCATAAAGTTCGTCTTCCGAACCGAGAAAGTCCAGTTTTTTCCGTTACCCTGGTCTCCGTAGTCCTTAGCAGTGCCACTAGTTTTTTGCCGTTACGAGATACCGTTAAAAAAGACACCGAACCGAACAATTCACGGCGTCGACGTTTTTTACTCGGCCCGTGAAAAGATTTTTCAACAAATTTCCCCGGAGTTTCTACCCGGCTATTTTCGCGCGAATATTACGGAAAAAAATGCAAGCGACGACGCGAACGTTTCGTGTTTACTGGAAAACAACCGGGCCTGCTATAAACCGACAAAAATCCGTTACTTAAAAAAACTCGACTTTTCCGACTCGTCGTCCCTGTGACTTTTCTCCGACCGTACCGTTTTTTTTTCCCCACCCTTGCCGAACGCGCGTGCAACACTTTTTAACACCGGTATACAACGGTTTTACGACGTCCATTTTTTTTACCGTTAAAATTCCAACCGACTTTTTTTATTTTTTTATTTTTTTTTTTTTTACAAAAACTGTCGACGAGTTTTAAAAAGAAGCACGCAGCTCTCGTCTATCGGCCGTTCGTATTCTCGCTCCACGGAAAATTCTTTTTTTTATTCGTACAGCTAATTCTCACCGTACGCGAGCAAAATTTAATTAGGTATTCCGGTTTAATTACACCGAGTTATTCGCTGTTTTGTTACACGAAATAATATTCAACTCGGTTCCGATCGTAGCCGACGCGCAGATGGGGCCAATATTGGGAAAATAAAGCGCGGAATATTTTGAAATCGGATATTTTAATTCGTAAATAGAGCGTATTATTCCCATTGCGATGCATTGTGACGGGCGCGGCAGCATTCTCCGGGATCAGAAGAACCGCTTTTAATGACCCGGATGCGGACGAGGGATGGGGACGGGGGGATGGTTCCACCTAGCAGTGTCGTATTCGATTCCAACCTCTCCACTTTTCGTAATCTCGAGCCAATTCTCCTTTCGATTCCTCGACCCCTTCCGTCCCCATAGTCCGTCTCGTGTTACCTTACGGCTTTTTATCCACTTCGTTTTTCCCGATCATCGACGTGCACGACAGAAAAGAGGTAGGCTCCGTAAAGCGGAATCTCTTAAACTGTCTACAACACGATTATTTCGACTCGAACGGAAATATTTCATCTGCAAGTTTGGAAAGGAATTTTCTTGACACGTTTACGGTAACGTCCGTCAGGGCCCACTAGCATCCCAGACATTTGAAAATTAAACGTAGCTACAGCCGCTGAGGAGGAACACGTTACGCAATAGCAAGTGGTGTAATTATCTAGCGGTCAATATACTCGATAAATTCTTTAATTAAATACAACTCTAGATGCGACGGATTTCTGTATGGAACACTTTTATTACGCGGTTCCTTTCGGTTTTTAGCCATTTCTAAAGAAAGAGAATGAAAAAGAGTGGATGTACCCACCGCAGTGGGTAACTAGACCAGTCGATAACTGTACGGTTTCAATATTCGTCGCGTAGCGGCGCTCGGTAACAGACCAGCGATCCTAACGTCGGTAAAGTATCTAATACGACCATAAAACCGACACCCAAAGAATTACTGCGTTTAAGAATTGAATTACAAAGGAAAATTAGAAACACTTCTCACGCAGTAATATTAATTGTCCGGTTAAATCGTAACGGTTATAAAGATTGAAATCATTTTACCGACAAAACACATTTTTCCGACAAAACACGTTTTTCGTAACTAAAAAATTCCTGTAGTTACAGCATACAGAATGCCGGTAACACCGTACCGACCGACAGACAGTGATCCAGGTTTGGTAACTTACCGACAGATTAATATAATCCGACGATGGTAACGTTCAACGTGCTTCTTCGATCGGTAACCTGCGTTGCAACTAAACTGAACTAAACTATTCCAAACCATCTGTCATTTCCCGTGTCACGTTAGTAACACATAAATAAATAAAACGTACATGTCAAGGCGAGCGACCTTACTACGTTAATAAAATGAACGAAAAAATAGAATTTACATAGATATATAAGAGAAGAAGAGTGTATTTATGTAATGATTTGAAAGATTGCGCAACACGGCGAGTTGGTCGAAGCCGCATGCCAAGCCGATATCACTTTAACCACGTAATTACATATATTACACTCTATTCCATTGAAAACAGTAGACTGCTTGGTTCGTTGTGTTACTAGTTCTAGATATAGGATATAGATGAACCAACTCGTTAATCGTGCGATTCTTGTCGGCGAACGATCGTCGCTTAGTTGTTTTGTACGAAACTTTCGAGTATCTTCGCAAAACATGGTTATCGCGGTAAGTCGTACGTACATACGTAACTACGTACCATCGTTTTAGATCTAACGAATTGCTAAATACACCTAATAATTTCATTCGTTTATATTTAATAATTTAGGTGGGTGACAAGCTACCCGGAATCGACCTCTTCGAGGATTCCCCTGCGAATAAAGTAAACCTTGCAAAAATTGCAGCAGGTAAAAAGATCGTAGTATTCGCAGTACCGGGTGCCTTTACACCAGGATGTTCAAAGGTATCGTTTAGAAAATAATACTTTTCTATCTCATGAGAATTATATCGAATATTAAATAGTCATTTTTCTATGCGTACAAGTGGAATTTTAGAAAAGTCTAAGCACGATATGTGTAAATGTTGTATTATTTTAGACGCATCTACCCGGTTTCATACAAAAAGCTGCAGATTTAAGATCTAAAGGAATCGCAGAAATCTTTTGCATTGCTGTAAACGATCCATTCGTTATGGCAGCTTGGGGTAAAGAACACGGAGCGGATGGCAAGGTATTATTACTAATAATATACAAATATATATAAATAATGGCATATCATATATTTGATTCGATAGGTACGCATGCTAGCAGATCCTACAGCTCAATTTACAGATGCATTACAACTTTCTGTGGATTTGCCCGTATTGGGTGGAAAAAGAAGTAAGCGCTACTCTATGGTACTCGAAGATGGAGTAGTAAAAGAATTAAACATCGAACCAGACAATACAGGACTCTCCTGTTCTTTAGCTGAAAATATTAAACTCTAAAATTCTTGTCGTTATCGAATGTCGCGTAGTAATTTTGCTATTACTATTTAAAAAATTATAGGCACTTGACTAATTTATTCGTTTCGTTATACGGTTGTTACACGTTTATATAGTAAAACAAGTGTTCTTATCTGTTGTTCCAAGTGTTCTGTTTAGTGCAAATTTCATACGATGTACGTTTAGTTCTTACTTTTAATATATTTTACATTAAATTTATTATATGTTTCATACTTGGCAAAATAAAGAGTACTTCTCTAAAAAGTATTTACACATTTTTATATTTTTGTACGTGTCTTGTGTTTACAAGTAAATGAAAATATGGTAACTTGAAATTAGCATCAACGCATATTGATGTTATTATTATTGTAAAAGTCTATAGTATATAAGACATAATGAACAATTTGTTATATAAATATCTTATTCGTTTCTATTTCTATTTAAGCTATATAAATTAGGGAATGTCTTACTTTCTCCGGGTTCTTTTCTTTCAAATAATGTAAAGCAATTCAAAAAACCCGCTACTGTACAAGTATACAAACGTGCGTGCGTATGGGCTCCGCCATTTAGTAGGTGAAAGTATTCCAGGCGGCGCTACAAACTTTGTACAGGAGCTTCGCCTTCGCCCCCCTGCGCAGTACTGCTTGAGATTTGAGATGACTTGAGATTGTTCCAGTCCTCGCGAACACTTACGAATTACGACTGCTTACGACCCTTGGCGGTTTTGTTTCGTAAAAAGTTGAAATTGTCCAGGCAAGGATAAAAAATAAACATAACTGCGTGGTTCGATAAAACAATTTACATTTTCGCAAAGACAAGTTTTCAAAAACTACTTCTTCCTTTGTAGTTGGACGTGCTTCAGCGTAATCGGTAATATCTTAGTATTTTCCAGTAAAATAATATTGCTAATAATTCTATTTCTATATGAAAATTTAATATTCAATGGCTTATCTATGTGTCGCTTAAACGTAATAATTACTTTCTGTAACTGTATTTGTTATTCTTCTTACAGTTATTTTGCTTCGAGAAGTACTGTAATAAAATATACAACATTTGATGGCAAATATAACGAAAGAGATGCATCTTGTGCAAATATTATATAAAACAGCATGAGAAAATAAATAACGACTAAAGTATGCAAAGCTAACATGACCAAATGTTACAAAGTACTTTTAGGTGGATGACAGGTTCTTTGGGAATGGATACAAATAAAAAAACGGAGGAATTAAGTAATATTCCAAGTAATGTGAAGGAATTTGAAAATTCTGATTCGATAGAGGTTCTTATCAATTTTATAAGTTTCAGTTTCTTTGGGAGGAACTAATATGTTAACTAATCTATCATTTTCTTTGTATAGGTTGATAATTCGCATACTGTTCTATTGAAAATAGCAACACTGTATGCAGAACGTCTTATGAATGATATTTGTCTGGTTGTCGATGGTATAGAATATCCAGCTCATCGCCTTATACTTTGTGCCTCTAGCGATGTTTTTCAAGTAAGTCGATTTGTTTTCAAATCTATATACCGTTGTCATGATTCTTTTTAACACAGGTGATGCTAATGAGCCCTCAATGGAGCGAATCTCAAGAAAGCAGAGTAACTCTCCAAGAAACACCGCAATGCGCACCTATATTTAGCGAATTTTTGCGGTACTTTTACACTGGCCAAATAAGAATTAATTATGGAGTTGTTTTACCGATATTATCTTTAGCGGACAAGTATAATGTAAAAGATTTAATATCGCTGTGCCTTGACTATATGCAAAATCATATCGCGATAGCTGCCATACACGGCACTCTTGTATCGTGGTTACAGTATACTTCAAATTGTGGCCATCACAATATTACTCAGGCATGCCAGAATTTCATTAAATGGAATTTGGAATTGGTGGCTAAGACAGCAGATTTTGGAAACTTTGATATAGATATTTTAGTATCGTTACTACATCAAAGTAATTTAGTGATAAAAGACGAGATGACGTTATACAAGTGCCTAGAATCTTGGTTGGATCACCAGGCAAATCGTTTGAAACCACAATTGTCGTATGACGAATTAGAAGCTACATTGAAACAGTTAGTGATAGCCGTGATGTCTCCGGTTAGATTTCCAATGATGTCTCCTCGACAATTAGCAGATCTTTTATTATCTTCTTTAACAAAAAAGTATAAGGAATTTTTTGTAGAACGTATGTCGATCGGTATGTCATTTCATTCGGGTCAGTTGGATAGAGTTAGAGAGGTGAGTTTAAACGAAGAAGACGGTGCATTACTGTTTGAACCAAGATTGTACACCGTAGATACTTGTAGTTCGTTACTTACGATAGAAAATTTTCATAGTTTACCATTTTATCATACTAGAACCCTTGTATTTTCGAGTCATTCGTGCTTGGCAGAATATGCCGGCGATCGCGCGTGCGAATGGGTTGTAGATATATATCCGAAGGGAGTCTGGTTTAAGAAATTTTTCTTAATAGTTTGGCAAGGAACCGTAGAGATGCCCGAACATGTAAAACGATCGGTTAGATTATCGCTTACATGTAAGGAGCCTCCGGTGAATGGCGATACTGATATGCGTGTAAAAATAGGTGTTTTAATTTATGGATTACAAGATGGTGTTGAACATATTGCAAGAGTAACAGAAATTATTCACAGATTTAGTAAAGCCGAACGAGTCCTTAATTTGGATGACCTTTTACCATTCGAAGAACTGAATCCTCAACAAAGTTCTGTACCAGAAAATACATCTCCTTTTTTAGTAGGCCCAAACAAAGATATGCTTAAATTACACATTGTTATATCCCCAGCCAATTAGGATATAGTAATTAGTTGTTCGGTTTTATTCTACGATCTTTCATTGCACATTCTCAATACATTCGATTTGTATAAAAACTACAAATTATACCTCATTATGTACATTTCTTAAAAGTTCAACTTTTCAAATCGTTCTCTATCTCTACTTCATTCAAATCTCACCAACATTAAACTAAGACAAAATTTTGTATATGAAAAATATGAGATAATAAAGATAATCAGATAATACAACGTACATCGATGATATCAATCAATTTTCTTGAAAAAACGATATTAGCAAATACGTTATTTTATTTATGTAATCGATCTTTCGAATAAAATCTTTCAAGTCTAGGGAAATTACCCTAGAGAGCGTTCACGTCAGTTTACAATACAAACTTCTAACCTCATTTCGCACATGCACATGGCATGGGAATGTGAAAGGAAAAGAAATTACACGTGTAGTCTGTTAAACAAACTTTGTAAGCATTAAACATTAAAAAAAGTAAATATAGAAATGTAAGTGCAGATAGTGAGATTTTCATTTCTTCGTTTCTTTTTGTTTTAAATAGTTTTTCAAGAAAGCGATAAGAAATTTTGACTATTGCGCTATAGGTTATGTTCATTATTTGAAAAATTATAATTGCAGTTAAATAATGAAAATAAAAAGTACAAAAAGTGTGTTGAAGACGTCAAAGAAACCAGCTATGAAGAAGAAGAAAAAACGTTCAAGTAAAATAGCTACAGGTGATCTTTTAAATAAACATTCCGGAAATGAAATGAATAATGAAGATAGCGCAAAAAGTAGCGAAGATGAAATGGATCCAATGGAACACAAGAAATCCTTAATGAAATTAAAGAAAACTGATCCTGAATTTTATTCGTATTTAAAAGAAAATGATAAAAACCTTTTGGAATTCAATCTGTCCGATGACGATAACGATGATATCAATAGCGACGACGACAATGATAAATCTTCGTTAAATGATTTGGATACAAGACATATACCTAACACTCATTTAGAGGTATAAAAATAACGAATATAAGTTAAGAGAAAATACCTATTTGTCTAATGATTTTTCAATTGTTTTAGGTTGCTAGCGATGAGAGCGATTACGAAGTAGAGGAAGATAGCGCTGTAACGAAAGATAAACGAAAAGTTACGTTACAATTACTTAAATCATGGCAAGAAGAAATTCAGAAGGACAAGTAATATTTTATTTTACTTTATATATTGCTACAATTAAACATTAACCAGAATGAAAGAGTTATAATGCAATACTGTATTACACAAAATTTATTTCTCTGCTATATCAGTTTATAATTTTCTATAGGACATTGAAGACTATTAAATGTGCAGTGGAAGCTTTCCATGCTGCATTACAAACAGTATCAGAATCTTCAGATACAGAATCTCTACGGTATAAAGTAGAAGGTGGTGTAGGTATGTGTTTACATCTTTCTTGAGTCATTTTTGTCAATGTTAAATATTAGGTAATTACTAAATAATTAAAACATTTTTTAGTGTTTAATGGAGTTGTACAATTATGTATATTTTATTTACCTGATGCTTTCAAACGTTTCTTAAAATTGGGCTCAGAGACCCAGATTCAACCACATAAATCTAAAAGATTTGGCAAAATAAAGGGTATTTTGAAGTCATATCTAGCCGACTTAATCAAAGTATGTTCTTATATTAAAATTTGTATGTATAGAGCGGTATGAATCCAAGTACTTTATTATACATATATATATTTGTTTTCAGATCTTACAAAATGTAACGTCGTCTAATATACTTACAGTGCTTTTAAAGCATCTACATCAAATGTTACCTTATACGCAATCATTTTCATCGTTAACTAAACCATTGTTAAAGATTTTGTTAAATACGTGGTCAAGCGGAGAAGAAACTGTTCGCGTTGTTTGTTTTTTAAATATATTACGTATAGCAACCACTAATCGAGAATCAGTTTTAGAAATGTTATTCAAGGTAAAATTGAAATTTCAATGCTCGTATTAAAGATTATAGTTATTCCGATATTAATATGAAATCAATGTTTTAGGCCATGTATGTAAAATACGTTGAAAATTCAAAATTCGTATCTTTTACGACGCTACCTGCGATAAACTTTATGAGACATTCGCTGACGGAGATATATTTGCTCGATAGCAATCTAGCCTATAATCATGCCTTTTTATACATTAGGCAATTAGCTATCCATTTAAGGAATGCTATGACTTTAAAAAAGAAGGTAATGCGTAGATAACAGATAAATATCGTACAGTTTAATATATTAAACAATTTTTGTAGGAGAATTTTCAAGCAGTATACAACTGGCAATACATGAATTCGTTGCGTTTTTGGACGGAATTAATTACGCTATCGAAAAACGATTCTACATTGCAGTCACTTTTGTACCCTCTTGTACAAGTATGCGAGAACATTTTACATATTATACCTCGTTAAAATAACTAAGCGTTTAATTAAAACCAATATTTTCTTTTTTATTTTCAGATTATTATAGGAACAATAAAAGTAATACCAACTCCACAATATTATCCTTTGAGATTTCACTGTTTACAAATGTTGATAGATATTTCTAAAGAAACTGGCATATTTATACCTGTATTACCATTTTTATTAGAGGTATATATTTAAAAGTTATTTAAAATAATTCTAAAATATTCAATCCGCGAACGTGATACATTATTATTTCTATTTTTGTAGATATTGAATTCTTACGATTTTAATAAGAGACACAAGACAGTCTCGATGAAACCAGTACCTTTCATTTGTATACTGAGATTGTCAAAGTCGCAGCTACAGGAGAACGGTTTCAAAGATAATGTTATCGATTCCATCTACCAACTTATCTTAGCAAACGCTGCAAAGGATAGTCATACGGTATATTTTCCAGATTTATATATACCATGCATAATACAGGTAAGAAGATGTTTGATTTAAGGTCATTTTTTTATAGAGTGTTAAATTGTACAATTTGAATATAATTAATTTTTATTTCTAGTTGAAAGCATTTATAAAGAAATGCCACGTTGCGAATTACTGTAGAAAAATGAAACAATTGTTGGACAAGATCGAAGAAAACCGAAAATATATCGAAACGGAACGCAGTAAGAGCGCGATTGCCTTGACAAATCTGTCAGAGATTAAATCTTGGGAGAATAAAATCCAAGCGCAAGGGACGTCGTTATCGAAATTCTATGAATCTTGGAAAAAAATCTATCAATCTCAAAAACTGAAATTACTTACAAATAATGAAGATATTGCCGAATATAATTTACCAACTGTACGAAAATTGAAGAAAGGGAACTCGATCGAAGGAAGCGGAGATCTAAGCGACGACGACAGCGATTCCGATCTGCCGATCGAGAAGTCCGATCTAGGAAAACGTGAACGACAAACCAAAACAAAGAAGCAGAAGAAAAAGTTAAAAAGCAGCATCGATAGCAATGACAATTCATCTAGAGAAACGACAGACATTGTACAAGATATAAAAAGCGACGATTGGGATTAAATATAATTTCATTCAGTTGAAAAGAATGTCAATGTTAATGGACAAAAATAATATACACCGTTTGTAATTAAATAACACGTTACATAGTTTTAGGTATATTCAGCGATAATTACAAGAACGTATTTGTATACATCAAAGTGTTGTCAATCTAAAGTAAAGCAACATTTGATACTTTATTAAGGACAGTTACACAATTTTCCTTCGTAAAGTATAATTTAAATCTATATTTACGTATTTTAATCGCAAAGCGATCACCGCAATTGCCTTCCACTTGGCATAATACGAAATCCACTTTTCTTCTTACTTTCTCCGAGTAGTTATTTTCACAACAATGAAACTTGAAACATCTTTCAGAATAATTGCAACAAGTTGCGAGAGAATTAAACGGGTATGATAAATTCTGTGGCGTAAGGCAGGAGCCACCGATTACCGAGGTGTCGCTTTCCGATGGTCTATTTTTACCGAAGACGACTCAAGGCAGTCGGGAAGTTGGTATAGCAACGGTTGGGCGCTATTATAAAGCACTGTGTGCCGATCATACAGTAATTCAACTCATCCAAGTGAACGTTTTAAATAGGAGACAACATTTTTTTATGCAAATAAATAACGGTGTTTGAAAGAGACATTCAAGTGGCGAGGACAGTCCTCGTGCAAGTGACGAGCTTTTCTTTCTAGCGATTGAACGTTCGGACGACTCCCCTGGAAGAGGATTCAGTTATGTATGTAGAGGAAACGCGAAAAAGTTGAATTCTTTTCTTTTTCTTTTTTTTTTTTTAAACGATGTCAGCTCGGGGTGTAAAATGTTATTTGAAATCTCTGATCTCTCGGTCATGAATAAGCCACCAGCCGGTCATACTGGCGACTGGTAGAGTGGTAGCCACTTGGTGCCACGCTGCCAGAGTTACCGTGGATCTGGATGTGTGTGGCTAGCCGTTGACGATCGTGCGTGCCAGGAAACATATTGTAAGATGCGATTTTGATTCTCATGGCGAGGGAGCCTTCGTCGTGAGATTCATCGGCTTCCCGTACGGAGCACTTCGTTCGGAGTATAGTACGCTCTCGCGGGTTACGTAAATTCGTACGAAAAAAAAAAAAGAAAAAAGAGAGAGAGACAGAGAGGATAAGCGCAATAAAGTAGAAAAGGGAGGAACGAGCGAACCGTGCGTTAAACATCGAAATGAGGAGGGCATCATTCGATAAGTAAATTTTTCTAATATAACGAAAACCCGCGTTCTCAATGATCTATCGATCGACAGCGTTTTACACATTGTAACAAAAATTGTGCTAAACTTAAACTCTGCTTGACTCTGTATTTTAGCGACTAAATCGAACCTATGTATCGTCTATCGTTAAATTTGATTTAGCCTTTATTTTTAGAGTCCGAACAAATTTCGAAGTCTATCGTAAGATTCTAACAGCGTCGAAAATGTTGCCTTAGTAATTAGTACCAAAGAAAAAGTGTTTCGAAACATTCAAACTTGTACGAAGCGATTCATTTAAAGCAGCGTAATGATCTCGTCGCGCCTTGGAAATGTTTATAGAAAGTTTTACTTAAAAATTTGACAAATCTGCGAGTTGTTCAGAAATGCTTTTGCTGTGACTCTATCGATCGGAAATAATCCATGCCTTCGTGTACTTTTTTAGAATTCCCGAATTGTATACTCGATAGCATCACTCGTTAAATACTCGTGTACCGCATTGGTTTCGTTTTCGGTAGTACAACCCGTATGTAACCGTTCGAACGGTTACTGCGTATTACGTTACAACAGATAAATTTAGCATTTCTTTTACACAGAACCTCATTGTACCGTTGCCAATACCGCAACGCGGAATTAATTGGCAGTTTGGAGAAGAACCAATTTCCATCGATACGAATATAAATGATCATTCGCTTCGTAATTATATCTCAACAAATTATCGTTAATCGAATCGTCGTGCAACGTTCGCCGACTGTTTAAAGAAAGATGCGCATACTAAACAATGTTCCATTCCAACAGACACACCAACGGGAAGCGAAACGTTTTAAGCAAGACGTACAATTCGTATGGATTCGCATCTGAAAGTTCGAAGGAAGCCGATTGCAAGTACAGCGTGAACTATAACAATATCAAAGAGAATTATCTGCAACGAAGCATTTCCGCGGATAATGTTGTAATACGTTCGCGCGGTTTCAAACCCTCCGATAGACACGACCCCGTCAAGAGGAATTTCCTGGAGAGTTTAACTTCGAAAATACTGCACTTCGATATGGTGAGTATATAGTTAGTCGAGAAGACGTTCTGAAAGAACATTTTAACCGATACATTTTCGTTTTTTACAGGAGAGCAACGAAAGTGCTCCGGTCAACCTGCAGAAACTGCTAACCCCCGCCACGGACACGGACGGGATTCTACAATCGAAAAATAGTAAGTCGGTTGATCGGTTTGAAGATATAAATTCAATACGTGTAATCGTTTGCAGGAAAAATGTTCGCGTCCTCGTATTTCTATGCGCCGACGCATCCAACGGTCGAGGACCAGGTCGAGCTCGCGCGACGAATTTCCCATTCGTTGAGCGACGTGAAAAATATGAAAAGCAAAGGTCAATCTATGTACGTGAACAGGAAGAAGCGATCCGTGAAATGGATCCACGACGGTAACGGTACGCGCCTACGAAACACCCCATGCAATTTGTTACAATTTATTGAAATTATAAATACTAATTACACCTGTCGATTAGGTATAGAAGATTCAGAAGAGCCATCCACCCCTGTTCACAGTGTAAGTGGCGTCCGTTTAATTTCAATTTACATTTCAATCCTTGGCAGTTATTGCAAAGATTAACAAGTATTAATATGTATATATATATATATATTTCCAATAGGACAAAATTCCTTTAAAATGTATGATGAATCCATACGGAAAAGTGCTGGATATACGAGGCATTCAAGCTTTGGGCGAGGAAGTAAATATCGAACCGATGCCGAAGAATCCTGAGAAACTGTTCAATATCGTTCGCGATCTAAACAATCACAGAGGCCGCGGTAAGTATCTCCGTTGTATTAGACAACAATTTATACGTGATATGCTAATCGGAATATCGAAAAGTAATTAAATCGGTAATCAACAGGCGCCGAGATATTCGCAAAACGCAGGAAAAGGTCGGAGAAATGGGTTGTAGATCAAGAACAATCTCAAACACCTAACACCCCAGGGATGCAAACAGTACCAACGTATTCAAGAAAGCCGGTACGATTCAGTTTCCTAAATAATCAAAGAGAATTAACGAAAGAATATAACGAAAGAATGTAACGTACATTTTGGTCATGTTTAGGAGACGAATGGCAATTCAAAGTTTCCGAATATGTCTCCGTTTACGTCTCTCGCGACTGACCCGGTCGTCGGAAAACAGTCATTTTATAATCCCTTTACCGTGGACTTGTCTCTAAGTGACACAAATCCACCCGCCGCAGGTACGTAAACTAGAAAATGTTTTCCACTCGAGAGGATTTAGTTGGCAAGTTCATCTGGCAATGATCCATATTATATTTCTGTTGGTTCGAATTGTTTTCGAATCGTAAGCCGATAGCCAACAGTTTCCCAGGACTTGCGTTCAAAGCTGGACTTTAACATCTAACTTTATACATATAATATTTCTGAGCCGATACTGTTGATTCATCTTGTTCCCTTTAGTCTGCTTTTATCCGCGACGTAATTGTAAATCACTTTAGAAAATTGCTCCGGGCTCGACTAAAAAGAACATAATTCTATTCTGAACGTGTACGGATCGTTCTTTTTTTTTTTTTTTTTCTTTTGGTCTGTCGAAGCTTCGCAGAGAGTGCAACGACCTACAAAGCTTTTAATTGGCAAACACCGTCGATGTTATTCAATCGATGCGAGACTGCCACCGCGTTCTTTTTTTGTTGGATATCTAAAATAAACAACGACCTATAGCTCGTTGCCAATTGATATTTGCACGCCAATTAAACTAATCGATCAGTGTTTTAGAATTTTCGAATTTCCCTTGCAAATAACTATCCCGCAACGAAGCGACGTATTTTTCCATTACAAGTTGATAATCTTTGCCAGGATTAATTCGATGATTAGCTAATTTATACACGACCGAGCGTTATCTCGACGAATATCGTATTTCACTAAATTCAGGTCAATATTTCAATTTACTCTGGATAACATCTTTTCTTTGGCCGATAAGTTTCTGTATCGATTGAATTCTAGTAGTTCGAAGTGAACAAATATGATTCGATTCACAATTACTTTGTTCGCTTTATCAACATTCGAGAGATGATTTGCAAAATCACTGTATCGGTGTACGAAAAGTTTGAAAATGGTTTAACTTGAATGAAATAACGCGCGATGAAGGGAAAACGAATTCGTTGTTGACTCATCGAATGATAATGCTCGTTTGATTGCTCGAAAAGACACTTGATATTTCAACCGTTATACACACGTTCTTATAAACGTTCCAGAGAGGAATCAATATCTTTGCAACGGTAAAGATTGCAACCACTCGACCGAGGTGAAAAAGATTTATCTTCGAGAGGTGGCCGTTGGTACTGATAACGATTTTCCCGTTGACAAATCTCGATCGTCGATCGTGAAAAAGTCACGACGAGCCGCTTTGGAACCCGACATCGAACGACATAACATCTACCATGCCGGAAGCAGCAATAACGAAAACGCTACGATAACAACGACTAACACTAACAGGCGCAATTGCAGTTGCAACAAGGCTTCGCTGAACAAATCTAATATTTTTAATACGCAGAACGCTACTAACAAAGAGGGCAAGTGTTACGCCAGGGAAGAGTACGTAACGGAATGTGTACAAAGCGCGACTAACGAGAGAGAGAAATTGGCGAGTAACGAACGAGAGAACGATGGTATCCGCGTGGATAGCGAAGGAAACGAATACACGCCGGTACCGGTGAAACAATTGATACAAGAATTCGAAAAGTCCTGCAGACCGGTTCTGCAGTACAAACAGATCAGTCCGAAAGTTATACCGATTGTACAGCACTGTTCTCTGGACAACGACATAGCCCGATTCTTTGAAACACAAAATTCCGTCAAGTACAACGCCGAGAGGGAACGCAGGAGGTGAGGCAGAATGAAAATTACGGTCCTCGTTCGCTTAATTAATCGATTCTTTCATTAAATGAAATTTTATGATTCCTTCTTCCTTTTGCATGATCAATTATACGTGTCACGGTTTACATAGTAGAACCGATTATAGAATTTCATTTATCCACGTTCATTTTTCGTTTGAATGAAAAGTTGATCGAAAGTCTGACAGGGTCGCAATTTCATTATAATCGATTCTAATACAGAGTGACCGGCAAGCAAGTATACGAAGAACCTGTAAAGCTTGCGAAGCATGTTCAAGATCATTGTAACAACGGTTACGTGTCCACCGACGATACAGATTATTCGAGCGACGAAACCGATTCCCAGATGAACGATTACCCTATCGAGGACATAATCTATCGCGAGAAATCGGAATCGTCGAGCATTATGAACGGCGATCAGGAATACTCGTCGATGTATCGCGAAGAGTATTCGAACCGACGCAGGTCGGTGACTTCCGAAGAGGTGGAAACCTTCTGCAGCAACGGAGATGAGAAATATATGAACACAGAATCGGAAGTGCCCGCGGAAAGCAAGTCGTTGTTACTGTCGATGTTAGCGTCTCAAGAAGATATTTTGGAGACTATTAAACATTTGCGTAGCACGCCCGTTCTGGGCAATCTTTTGCACAGTGTTTCGCCAGATTTTAAATATACCGACGACTGTCCAGATGTAGGCAAGTTAACACGCATGCTTTTTTGACTCTTTCATTGTCTTGTCTCGTCTTGCTTTGCCTAAGCTTCGTATTCGTATCGCTTACAGGTGTCTGAAACTAAAGAGAAACTATCTTGTAATATCGTATACTATGTAATACTATATAATACTATGTAACACTATGTAATACTATGTAATACTATGTAAGTTTAGCATTTGCTTAAACATAGTTATTGTTACAGGTAAAAAGCTTTACGAAGATAACACCTACACAGGACCAAAACTTGCTAGCGTCAACAATCTAACCAACTACAATACCGCACCGCGTGGCTGGGATCAATCTTTGACCTATTACCGACCAATAAAGCTTGAGAAACCACAAGAAATTGTTTATTCGGACTTTTAGACGTAACGTATTTATAAAACAAACATCCTTACGTGGGTATATTTATCGCAGTGTAAATACTTTTTTCTTGTTTTTATGCGAATGTAATTGAGAACCGTTATTCGAAAAATATTATCGTTAAACATTAAATCTCGAAGTTATGGAATATATTAGAGTGAAGGTAATATTTTCCAAATATGAACGTATAATTGTTCTCGTATTTGTCTTGATTTCGTGGTTTGACAAACTATAATTTGTTTGTATTTTTAATTATCAATAAATATCATCGTTTCCTTATCTTTAGCATGTAAATGGTGTATCTACATAATTGATTTTAGATTTAATTAAAGATAACCCGATCTATATCGGACCGAAGCAGCACGCGATGTATGTACTTTGGTGTTGGCCTCCTTATTCTCAATTAACAAGGTATTTTATCCAAGTGGTTTGTTTTTCATCGAAGGAAACGTTTATCGAATCGTGAATCACGAAGGATATGTACTTATGAGCCTGTATCAAGAAAATGAAAAAGCTACAAGAGGTAACCAAAGCTTCCCACCGATCTTCCGTTTGGAAATTTCAAAGTTTCTCAGAGTATCAAGATCGCGTAACGAGTAAATCCCCCATTAGTAATTAGTATTCGTTTGGTGGGGGAAATTGAACGCTCGAATCGTCAACAATCCACTATAACCTTTCTTGACCAGTTGCTTACTGGTTCACTGCTCATCTCTGATATGGCTAAACAGAACAAATTCTCCCTTATCTACTACGTAAACGTCGTTACGCTTACACAGGAAAGCACGTAGTATAAGTAGAAGAAATTTGTAATCACTCCATCAGTTGCGACTTGCGAGCTGCGATTGGAACCATCCGGCAGCGTTTTGTTTTACGATGTCGTCTCGGTTTTCGGTTTCGCTGACTCTCTTTCTCGCGGTGTTCATTTATGGAGAAACAGCAAGCATACCCGGGACAACATCTGATGAAAGATGTGGATACGAGGTACAAGAATTAACTGTTCAATGTTAATTTGAAATGTAGCATTTTTAAATTGGCAAACAAGTTTATGCTTATAATATCAAAAGACTTGTATTAAAGTAACGTATTAATACTACATATTGTATGTTATTATAGGCCTGTCAGGGAGTTGATCCGAATAAATTAAATATTCATCTAGTGGCTCACACTCACGATGATGTCGGCTGGCTGAAAACGGTTGATCAGTATTATTTTGGAAGTAAGTACAATTAATTATAAAATAACATTTGTATTCATTGAATACAACGTTAAATGTCTTTCCATTTTTTCTAAACAAAGGTCGGCCAAATATTCAGAAGGCGGGAGTACAGTACATTCTAGATGGTGTCATTCAGGCGTTATTAGCTAATCCTGAAAGAAGGTATGTAATTTTTTATTTTTTTTTTTTTTAAATTACAAATATTTTTAGGTCTATAGTAGGTATACGAATGTCTTACATCTGTTCCGTTAGGTTCATGTATGTAGAAACTGCTTTCTTATGGAAGTGGTGGTTACGTCAGAATGAAAAGACTAAACAAGATGTTAGAAATCTGATAAACGAAGGAAGACTAGAAATTATCGGCGGCGGATGGAGCATGAACGACGAAGCAGTCACTCATTATCATTCTCTTGTGGACCAGTACACTTGGGGATTCAGGTAAAGATAAAAAGATAATTTAAAAAAAGAAATACTACCAGCTTTCTGAGCTTTCCGTTTTTCTAGACGGCTTAACGATACTTTCGGACGTTGCGCAACGCCACGTATAGGGTGGCAAATAGATCCTTTCGGTCATTCCCGAGAACAAGCGTCGATATTCGCACAATTAGGATTCGATGGCATGTTTCTGGGTCGTCTTGATTATCAGGACAAGGAGAATAGACTGAGCAAGAAAAACATGGAATTTATCTGGCAGGGAAGTCCAAATTTAGGTAAGTAAATTTAGGTAAATAGACATCCACAACGAGCTAATCGTGTTGTATATTCTGTTTCAGGATCTCGTGCAGATTTGTTCACGGTCGCATTATACAATACTTATTCACCGCCACCTGGTTTCTGTTTCGATGTTTTGTGCAACGACGAACCCATAATCGATGACCCCGATAGTCCAGATTATAACGTTAAAGAAAGGGTACGTAACGAAACATTCCGAAATCGAATATGTTCGAAAACAATGCACGTTGATAGTTGCAGTCATAGATACGGAAAAATATAATTCACAAAAGAGGGTTTCGAGTTTAACGAATTCGTAATCGTCGAACGTATACTTCCTTCCTTTCTGTAACTGCGTTAATAATACATAAGGTTGAAATTTTATTTTTTACACAACAGATTAATGAATTTTTACAATACGCGGTTCAACAAGCCAAAGTATATCGTACAAATAACGTGATATTAACAATGGGAGGAGATTTCACTTTTCAACAAGCGGAAATGTACTTTGTTAATATGGATAAACTGATAAGGTACTAATTTAATAGATATCGCTTTGCTTCTCTTCGTTAAAAAATCATCATCCGACGATTAATAAGTAGTAGCAATTGAAAGGAAGGAAAAGCTGTCTTGCAACTGTAACGCGTCCTTATGTCTGTTAATGGTAAGTACAATTTACCGTACTGTATCATCAGGTCGAACAATTTTTGGCCTATGCCAATCGCCAAGCAGCCTCTTACAAGACTAATAACATTATTCTTACGATGGGTGAGGATTTTAATTACCAACATGCCGAAATGTGGTTCACTAATTTGGACAAGTTGATCAGGTAAAATCTAATAAAAACTACATTAACTGCATTAACTAGAAAGCGTAAACTCGTAAAACTCTACGGAGTGTTGTTACATTTCGTTCCCACATCGGTGACAAAACCTCCAAGTGTTGGACCAATGACATTACGCTATTTACTTATTTGTTAAGCAATATTTGAAATTGATGATTTCGTATGCGACAGGTACGTGAGGGAAGAAACGTCGAATGTAAATATACTTTACTCGACACCATCGTGCTACTTGAAAGCAGTGCACGATGCCAATCTTAACTGGTCAACGAAAACTGACGACTTCTTCCCCTACGGAAGTGATCCTCACTCTTACTGGACTGGCTTCTTCTCTTCCAGACCGGCCATCAAATTCTTTGAGAGAATGGGAAATAATGTTTTACAGGTATGAGAAAACAATTTCCCTTCTCGTAATACTATACCGTAATTATAAATATAATTTCAGGTTACTAAACAATTGTCTGTATTGACCGATCTAAAACATACCGATGAAAAATTGGAACATTTCCGTGAAGCAATGGGTGTAATGCAACATCACGATGCAGTAACTGGGACGGAAAAACAACTTGTCGCCGACGATTACGCGCGTATATTATACAATGGCATCCAACAAGGAACAAATATTATTTCCGAAGCTCTAAGGTAACACAAATATATTCCTATGAAATATTCAGCTTAATTATTTCAACTGAAATCGTATTACTTTTTATTATATAGAAAATGGATGACGAATAATAGTCAAGAGGCAGTGCAATCGGAGAATATGTACTCTTGCATGCAATTGAACATTAGTTCCTGTTCGTACACAGAAGATACAAATATCATGCTCACGGTCTACAATCCTCTAAGTCGCGAAATTCGAACACCTATTCGTGTTCCTGTTCGAGGAGGCACACACAAAATTGTGGATTTAGTAGGTATGTGTTGAAAGAGATTTAAAGAGAAATAAAACGTAGCTATGGTATAAAGTATCTGACAAGTGATGAAAATTTAAAAATTGTTTAAGATAACAGTGACGTTACCTCGCAACTGGTGCCAATCCCCAATTCTGTATTAAAAATACCAGGAAGAGAGAGCAACGCAACGCATGAACTAGTGTTTCTCGCACTACTTCCGTCTTTAGGCTATAAAACATACAAGATTGTGAAACAATCAAATGATACAGATAATACATACGTGCAGACGAATACTACAAATTTTATCGATAATGAGGTACTAATTACACTTAAAAAAAAAAAAGATTATATTTTAACCTCTCCAGTTTTAATCTTTGAGAAGAAAAATGGCGAAGATAGTAACGAGAAACTAACTTTTTTTTTTTTCAGTTTTACGATGTATCCGTTAACACAGATAGCGAAGTTACAGTGGAGTGGAAGAAACTGAACAATATGAGCCTAGTTCAATCGTTCCATTATTACGAAGGAATGGAAGGAAACAATAGAGTATTTGAAAATAGATCTTCGGGTGCATATATTTTCAGACCGAAAAGTGTATCCAGTAAAAATTTTCCGAAATTCGGATCTTACAAAATTTACAAAGGTAATGTTGTATGTTTGATGAAACAAAGAAAGAAAATTTCCGTCTTTCTGATTTAACCTGGCTTAAAACGATAGACTAAACTATCGTGTCAAATTGACGAGCCAAATTTCTTTTCATTATAGGTCCGGTGTTACAAGAAATTCATCAAGCCATCAACGAATGGGTTAGTCAGGTAATTCGGTTGTATAATGGACAGGAATATATCGAATTCGATTGGCTTGTTGGACCAATACCTGTCAAGTAAGTGTAATAAACGTGTCTGTAAAATAAATAGGTTCAGGAGCGGTATAGTAATTGCATGATATGGATCTTGATAATTTATGTTAAACAAAATCAGAGAAAACTAAATGAAGTGAACTAATTTCAGGGACAGCATTGGGAAGGAAGTTATCAGCAAGTATTCGAGCAACCTCGAATCTAATGGAGAATTTTATACCGACAGTAACGGTCGCGAAATGTTAAAGCGAAAACGGAATTTCCGTCCAACTTGGGCTGTACGATTGGAAGAGACAATATCCGGTAATTATTACCCGGTTCCTAGTAAAATCTCCGTGAAGGATGAAGACAAATCCCTGAAACTCAGCGTGTTAACCGATAGAACAGAAGGCGGATCTAGTATGAGGGACGGAGAAATTGAATTAATGGTAAAATTTCATAGTTTGCGTACTATTTATTCCCATGGTCTCCAGTTTCATCCCCGTACGATACCTCATATATACAAATTATATTCACATATATGTACATGTATACAATACATATAATATCTGTACATACATGTATATATTCGACGTAATATGTTACAGCTTCATAGAAGACTTTTAAAAGACGATGGATTTGGTGTAGGGGAGGCTCTCAATGAATCTGCGTACGGTGAAGGTGTAGTGGTCAGGGGTTCGCATTACATATTTGGAGGCAGTATACAAAATTTGGATGAATTTATAGTAAAAGAAAAATCCTTGGCTCTTGAAACGTTACTACGTCCATGGACATTTTTCACACCGATAACGACAAATCCTACAAATGAAAATTATACGTTCAAGCCGCAAGTACGTATCCATATCGTGACGTCGTAATAAATAAATTTAGTTTACTTTGCTGCTTGCAACGGTATGAACAAACGATGTTTCCTTTCAGGGATCAGGTCTTGCTAAATCACTACCACCAAATATTCATATTCTAACTTTAGAGCCATGGAAAGATGGTACGGTTTTACTGAGGTTAGAGCACATTGTTGAACTGGGAGAAGCCGAGAGTTTATCCAAACCCGTGGAAATAAATATTCAGGTTAGTTTTGTAATAATTCAATTCATCGATTAGGTTAAGACTATATCTGTTTCTACTGGAACACTTGACCACATGCACGTATATCTAAATTATTAACTTTCTGTGTTCCAGGACTTGTTTAAAACTTTCACAATTTTATCCGTGGAAGAGACTACATTGGGTGGCAATGAATGGTTAAAGGATACGAACCGTCTGAAATGGGAAATCGAAACAAATGATGTCCTCAGAGAAAAAGAAAACATACTTCAGCCCATACAAACCGGAGATGGCGTTATAAATGTTCTTTTAAAACCAATGGAAATACGAACATTTGTTATTAAAACAGCACCGCGAAACTTGTAATTAGAATAAGTGATTCATTTACATTCGACATTACTTATATTCGATTATCCATGTTTGTTGAATTTTCTTTTGTCCGAATAAATGTACGTAATTACTATTGTAAAAAAAAAAGAATAAATTATATACCTACATATACAGAGTGTCTTTTTCATTACCGAAAATGTTGTCCGAGATATCCTAAGGAGATGTGAGAAGAGGTGGCACGTTTGCGCCTACGAGTAGGCAACCGGTCCGACATAGCTGTAAGTATAGGTTGCCTATCTTAAGGGGCTAACTTTCGGTACATTTCGGAATTCCGGCCATACTTGCAAAGTCGACAATTTTGGCCAGATTTTACTCTCGGTATCAGGAGAACATGATATGCGAAGAGGTGGCACGTTTGCGCCTG